GGCGGGTCCGCCTTTTGTTCCTTCCGGAAGGCGTCCCTGCCCCCACTGCTTTGCCGCAGCTGGATAAATGCCCGGCTGACAACCCGCGCCGGCGTTCTCGGCGCGTGTGCCTCCCTCGGATCTTCCGGCCCTGCAGGAGGTAAGCGGGACCCTTTGCTGCCCCGGGGGCCTTCTGGCGTCCCAGCTCCCCTGGGACACAACCCCCCACTCAAGATGCCTTGGGGCGCTCCTACTTTACCTTTCCGAGTTATACCGGATGAGTTGTCCGACTTGTCCGTCTGGGGGTCCATTTGCTCGCTTGAGTTCTTGCTGTCGCACCTAGACAGGAAATCCGCCACGGTGTTTGATTTTCCTGGCCTGAACATGATCTGGAATTTGTAAGGCTGTAGGGCCAATGCCCATTGGGTGATCCGGGCATTATCGGTCCTAGCAGTGCTTAGCCATCGGGGAGGGGCATGGTCCGTCACTAACTTAAACTCCCGGCCCATTAAATAATACCGGAAATGGTCCACGGCCCATCGAATGGCCAGACACTCCCGCTCTATGTGGCGTACCTCCTCTCTGCTGACGACAGCTTGCGGCTGGCATACGCTATTGGCCTCTATCGATCCCTTCCTCCTCCTGCGTGAGGACGGCCCCCACTGCTGTTTCGGATGCGTCTGTCTGTAAAATGAAAGTTTTCCCAAAGTTAGGAGTGTGCATTATTATGTCCTCGCAGAGGGCCCGTTTTAACTTCCCAAAACACTGCTCCATCTGCTTCGTCCATTTTACTGCCCCGTTCCTCCTCCCCTTCAATGCCTCCATCAAGGGGGCTGTCAGTTCCGAAAAGTGGGGCACGAATCTCCGGTAGTAGTTGGTTAGCCCTAGAAATGACCGGAGCTGAGGACAATTCTGGGGGGCTGGGAAATTTCGCACCATCTCCACTTTGTCGGCCAGGGGTCTGATAGTGCCCCTGCCCACCAGGAATCCTAAATACTTCGTTTCCCTTTTTGCTAAGGTGCATTTCTGCGGGTTTGCTGTGAGACCGGGCTGCCTTAGCTCTGACAATACAGCCCTGAGGGCCTGCTTATGGTGCGTCCAGGTTGGCGAGTATATAATAATATCGTCGATGTAGGCTGCCGCGTGCCCGGCATGGGGGGCGAGCAGCCGATCCATTAAAGCACGAGGCGGATCCATTAACCGCTGGAAAGTCGCGGCTGCCCCATGTAGCCCGAAGGGCATTCTTACGAATTCATAGAGACCCCAGGGCGTGCTGAAGGCCGTCTTTGGCCAATCTGCTGGGGCCACTGGGATTTGCCAGTATCCTTTGGCCAGATCCAGCGTCAATATATACTGGGCTTCTCCGATTCTTTCTATTAATTCATCTACCTGGGGCATGGGGAACGCGTTGAAGACTGCCAGCGCGTTCAATATTCTGTAATCGACGCGTAGCCTCAGCGACCCATCCGGCTTTCGTACGGGGACTAGCGGGCTTCTCCAAGGGCTTCGGGATGGTCTTACCACTCCCAGCCGCAACATGGAGCTCACCTCCTCATGCACGGCATCTAGCAAGTGGTGCGGAATGGGCCTCCACTTCTCCCTTACTATAGCCCCCGGTGGTGTTTTAATGGTATGAGTCGTGCCCCAGACCCATCCTGGCTCTTTACAGAACACATCTTGGAACTCGTGAATTAACCTCTGCGTCTCCTGTTTCTGTGGTTCGGACAAGTCTTCCTCCACTCCGATTAGTTGCTCTATCTCTTCAGACAGTGCCACATCTTGTCCGGACCCTTGGGGCCCCAAATCCTCTTCCTCATTTTCTACGAAGGTCACCCAGCCCGCCGGTTCCTTCCACTCCCGCAGCAGATTCACGTGAAAGATTTGCTGCTCTTGGAGATGGCCCGGCCGGTGTACTTCGTCATCTACGGGCCCGACCCGCCGAAGAATCTCGAAGGGGCCTTGCCATTGCGTAAGAAACCTGCTCGTGGATGTGGGGAGTAGCACCAGCACTCGCTGCCCTGGTTCAAAGGCCCGCTCCTTAGCGTTGCCGTCGTATTTTTCCTTCTGCCGAGCCTGGGCTTCTCTCAAATTTTCGCGAGCTATGTTCTGGGCCGTTCTTATCCTTTGTTGGAATGCCTGGTGATACCCCGCCGGGTCCTGTAGCACTCCGTTGTCCTGCTCCCATTCCTCTCAGAGGACCTGCAGCCATCCTCGGGGGCGGTGCCCCAGAACCAGCTCAAACGGGGAAAATCTCATGGAATCCTGAGGGGTAGCCCTAAGAGTGAATAGGACTAGCGGCAAAAGTAAATCCCACTTCCGAGGGTCCCCTTGGATGCACCGCTTCAACACCCTTTTGAGGGTGCCATTTAGGCATTCCACCAGCCCGTTGGTTTGGGGATGGTACACTGAGGTACGTATCTGCCGTTTATGCAGGGTTCGACACACCACCTTCATGACACCGGACATGAAATTTCTGCCCTGATCGGTCAAGATCTCTTTTGGGACTCCCATTCTTGCGACCCATTTTATCAATTTTTCCGCCACCCGGGGAGCGGTGGCTGTTCGCAATGGGACGGCCTCCGGATAACGCGTCGAATAGTCTACCATAACTAAAATATACTGGTGACCTGAGCTGCTATGGGGTAAAGGTCCCACGATGTCTAGGGCCACCCTCGCAAAGGGGGTATCTATGATCGGCATTGGTTGTAATGGGGCCCTGGCAGGGCGCTCGGTCCGAGTCTTCTGGCACTCTGGGCAGGCCGCACATCGGCGGCCCACTTCTACTCCCATCCCGAGCCAAAAGAACCACCGGCCCACCTTTGCCAGGGTTTTATCTCACCCTAAATGGCCCTCCACAGGGCTCGCATGGGCCAGTTGCCAGACCGCCTGGCAGAACTGGCTCGGGACCACCAGCTGCGCCTCTACGGGACCCTCCCACCTGGGCCCTGGTACTACCGTTGTCATAGGCACAGGTTGGGCGTTGGCATAGGCTGCCATGTCTGGGTCTTCCATGTTCCCAGCCAATGCACCCCTTTGTACCCGCCCCCGCTCTACTAGGTGTTCCCGC